TAAAACCAGATACACTGAACCTGATAGCCAGGAAAGTGGAGAACAGTCTTGAGCTCATTTGCACAGGAAAGACTTTCTGAACAGAACACCAATAACACAGGCATTAAAAGATCAGTAATTAATAAATGAAACTTCATGAAAATGAAAAGCTTCTGGGAAGGAAATCACCATGATTCAGTCAAAGCAGCAATCTACAGAATGGGAAAAGATTTTTACAAACTACACGTTCAATAGAGAGCTAATATCCAAAATACATAAAGAGCTCAAAAAAACTGGACATCAAGAAAACAACACAATTTAAAATGGGGTATAGATCTGAAAAGAAGAAATTCAAATAGCTAAGAAACAAAGAAATGTTCAACATCCTTTGTCATCAGAAATTTTCAAATCAAAACTACTTTGAGAGTTAATCTTATACCCATCAGAATGGCTAAGATCAGTAAGACATAGGACAGCTCATGCTGGTGAGGATGTAGAGTAAAGGAACACTAATTTATTGTTGGTGGTAGTGCATAATTGCACAGCCATTATTAAAATCAGTGTGGTGGTTCCCCAGGAAAATAGGAATGGATCTACCTCAAAATGCAACTATACCACTCTTGGGCATTTACACAAAGGATTCTTCACCCTGGCAAAGAGACACTTATTCAACCATATTCATCACTGCTCTATTCATAGTAGTAAAAATTAGAGCAACATATATGTCTGTCAACAGATGAATGGATAAAGAAAATGTGGTACAGTTACACAATGGAACCATTGGAAAAAAATGAAATCATGAAATTTTCATGTATAAGGGTGGAACTAGAAAAATCATACTGAGAGAGGTAATCCAGGCCTAGAAAAGACATAATATGTATTCATTTAAAGGTAGATATTAGCTGTTAGATCAATGACAACCAAGCTACAATCTATAGAACCAAAGAAGTTAAGCATAAAGTAAGGCCTGGATCGGGGGGAATGACAGATAGATCTCCCTAGTAAAAAGAAATAGAGTAGATGGTTATGGATGTATTGGGAGGGTCTGGAGTGGGAGGACCAAGGGGAGATGGGAGAAAGAAGGGAATGAGGAAAGGACTAAGAAAAAAGACAGCTACAATTAAGTTCCATTTGAGGGGTACATGGAAACAATACAGTAGAAGCTTCTTTCCTATGATGTGTACCTAGATGAAGGCAATGTAAATGAAACCACCAAATAATGGGGGATGCAGAGCTCAAATAGACTTTGTTCATCACCAAATGAACTTCCCAATACTAGAAATGGGTTATATATGATTGAGTTGTTGGTAAAAGGGCTTCCATAGGGACCCCCAAACAACAAAGGCTGTTGCCATGGCTATAGCTTGCTCTTTACAAATGGACAAGAAGGCCCTGCATGCTAGCATCTTTGGTTCAGGAAGGTCTCTGCTGTAGAAGGCCGCAGCCACATTCTCCATCATCAAGATGGCGCTGACATCCGGCCTCACCGCCAGGTGAACGCACACGTGTTGGTATTTTTCCACTGTGTCCCCGCCTACTTCCGAGGCATCACCTGGGACTGGGAGCAGCGGACCAATCCAAGAGTGACATGTCCGAAGCAGGGTCTGTTTCCTATATAAGGGATGGGTTCCATCATATCTGGGTCTCCGCCATGTTGGCTGATGCTCGCTCTCCCAAGGGGCATTAAAGCTTTTCTGCAGAAGTGTCCTATGTGTCCCTGCGTCGTTCTTGCAGGCGAGACGGTAGCGCGGGGCACTCTGCACTACCAACAGAGAAAGGAAAATACTAACGCAGGCACAAATACTTTGATCTACAATGCTGTCCTGCTAGCAAGATATGCTAGGTCAATGATGTCTCAGAGCTTTTGGGAGTGACCAACCAATATCTGATTTGACTTATGGCCCATTCCATGAAATGGAATTCAAACCTGACACTGCTTGAGTGACCAAGAACCCAAGACTAGATAGTTCAGGGATATAGGGTAAAAACCAATACTACTGTCATAAATTTTTTTTTTAATTAATGTAGCAATAAAATGACTCCTGATGACATTCTGCCATGCTTCTGGATCAGTTCGTTGCTCATCCACTAAGAGCAGTTCTGGCTTTAGCAGACAGAAACAAGTATAGAGAGACCCACAGACAAACTTTATGTAAAAGGCCTTGGAGCACTCAGCCCTACCTAACTGGGATGTCTTCATCAAATCCCTCCCATCAAAACTCAGGAAATCAGCATGATCCACATACATATGAACTCACAGAGTAAGGCAACATACGCAGGGCCTATTCAGGACCCTACACCAGCCGGGGTCCTAGAGCATTAAGAAAAACAGGGACAAATGACCCCATCCCTAACCTAGAGGCAATCTCCAATTAACAACTCTAGGACTCAGCCAACCATGACTCACTTAATAGAAACAGACCACCCAAAGGAAGTTCTTAACTTCCAGCCTTTATCACTTGTCAGAGTAGGACTCAGCTGTGATAAATTTAATGGAGGCCTGAGTCTTAGTAGTTTACCCTGAGGCAATACCTGGTTGCAGGAAGAACCACAAACTGAGATTACCTAGCACCACCCAAGAACAGACTATCCAAAGGAAATGCCTAAAGTTCCAACCTTCCAACTGTTGTAAATAGAATCACCTTCTAGCACACTCACCAGGACAGCCCTAGACAAATGTCAGCCAATCAGGGGTCCTGAACCTTAGAAATCCCTCACCCCCACCTTTACTACTATAAAAACCCAACTCTGAGCTCGGGGCTCTTTGATTATTCCAATATATTGAACATAAGGAAAGACCGAGTTTGCAAACTTGTATAAAATAAAGGCTCTTTGCTTTTACATATGGGACTCGGTCTCCTTGTTGGTTTTGGGAGAACTTCACGGATCTGGACTTAACAACAACCACTTGTAAATGAAATTTAGATTTTCCCCAAGAGAATCTCAGAGAAATAGACTACTCTTAAGAAAAAGCTGCATGTGCAGTAGTAGATGGCCAACACACAATGAAGTCAACAACATATTTGGAGTTCCTTGTCTCCCATGTCATGTCAGGACTCTTGTTTTTATTTGTTTTTATTTTATCTTATTCTTTATTTTTATTTTATTTACAATTTTTCCCTCTCTCTTTTTACCCTCTGGGTCCTTTGGGTATATATTATGGCTTCCAGTTTAGTGCTCTTGTTTGTTTGCTTATTTATTAGATTGCTTGTTTTATTGAAAATAGATTCTTCCCTCATACAATACATCTCAACCACAGTTTCCCCTTGCTTCACTCCTCCCAGTTCACTCCCACCTCCCCTCTCCCCCAGATCGATTCCCCCTCCATCTACTGCCACAAACGAGTAGGCCTGCAAGAGAAAGCAACAGGACAAGATTTAGCAAGACAAGATTCATAGCCTTGCCCAGTTTCATGTTTATATGGGATTCCTTACTGTGTGGATGAGTGAGTCTCTGCTCCTGTGCTTGCTCTTGGAACATTTTCCTTCTGTTTTGTCCAATTCCAATGTGCTAGTTTTTGTTTTATCTTACTATATAATATTTTAATTCTTTAGAAGACTGTTGGTTTTTTTTAAATAAGTTTTTTTTTGGTTTTATTTTGTTGTTGTCTTTTTTAAACACTGTTAAGGACTCAATCCAGGATCTTATGCTTACTAGACAGGCACTCTACCATTGACCTAAATTCCTGTCCGTTGTTATCTTAATGAGAGACAGAAAGGGGGTGGATCCAGATGGGAAGGAGGTGAGTAGGAGCTGGAAGGAGTAGAAGGAGGAGAAACAATAATCAAGATATATGATATGAAGGGAAAAGACTATTTTAAATAAGAAGGGGAAAAAAATACCACTGCCATCAAGCTATTGGAATAATAAGGGTTCAATGAAGTTTCTAATAGAAGAAAAGCATGTTAAAATTGCACTCATCTTTCCAAGTTACCAAACAGAAATGGTAGTAAAAGATAATATTCTTTGCAATAGAACTGGTTCAGTTGTACACATGGGTTGTGTTTTCAGGGACATACAGTGAGATCAACGTAAATGTAAAGAAATGTCTATGATCTTGGATAATATTGCTGTATAGCATAAAATACCAGTTTCCTATAAAAGTAACTTCAAAATTTAATCCCCAAACATCTTTTAGTTGGGTCTCTAAAGAGGTCAATTTCTGAAATTCATCGGGAATAAAAAAGTGCATACAAATACTGAAGACAGTTTTGACAGCTTGAGCAAAGAGTAGAGAATTGTGTTCTAGGCTTTGCTGCAAAGCCATTGCAGTAACTAGAGTAATTAGATCGACTCTTAAATTGATCATAAGGTCTTTGATCAGATTTTGATCTTTGATCAAAAAGAAGAAAAGTAGAGATTATATCTACTTATGGTGCGAATGTATATCCCTACATAATACCTGCATTGTCAGTTAAAACTCACAGGATGCAGCACTATTTGGGACTTTAGAAATTGTTTAAATCATGAGAGTAAATCCCTAACAAAGGATTTAGTTATTTTATAAAAAAAGTTGGAGGGCAGTACCCATGTGCCCTGGCTGTCCTCGCCCCGATGTTCTTTGCTATTTGAGGACATCAGTTCGATCACATCTAGAGGACACAGCATTCAAAGTGCCATCTTGGAAACAGAGACCAGATCCTCACCAGGATCTGGTGGCACCTGGATTCAGAACTCCCAAGTCACAACAGTTGGTAATAAACCAATGCTGTTCGTACATTGCTTCACATACAGTATCTTGTTATGTCAGTAACAATAGACTAATAAAGCAAAAGAAGTAACTATTCTAATATTTAAAGAAATACATAAAATGGGTACTGACTACATACAATACAAAATAGTGGTTACAAATGAATTAGATGTGATAAGGAAAGTTGGAACTTAGTACTTGGAAATATAGAACACCAAAGGTGGAGAAAGAATTTAAAACAAATTTTGAGAGTTTGATTCATAAGACAGGAAAAAAATACTTTATTACAAAAAAAAGTAGGTATCTTTGAAAATGTACCAGACAGATCACAGTCAGCAGAAAATATTTTATTATCTAAAGTTAATGAGAAATTATCTAAAATATATAGGTCAGCTATTTAAGATTTCCAAGATCAATAATGAAAGAATGGGCAATCTAAGAAAATGAGACCGAGATAGGAGTTAGCAGCAACAGAAGTGCAGCAAACATGGAAGTTTATAAAAATAATTGCCCAAACAAATTTATACTTACAAACATGCAAGTTAAACTAGCAAGAAAACATATCTGCATGTTAATCAGATTAAGCAAACCTCCTAGAAAGCGGGCTTGAACACAGTGGTGGAACAGACGTGGTGATCCAAGACATCTCCAATGCATCTGAAAACATGCGCAAACACGGCCACTCTGGTGTACAATGTGGCGGTACTTTGATTGGATGGGCATATATAATCCGTGCCCAGAAATTCCATTCCTGGCTTTCTATCTGCCTCACAAATCAGTACGGAAACATACTCAAGAATAGTTCATTGAGCTGTTTGTAATAGCAACCGTCAGAAGCAATCTAGCTGTCAGTCACTGAAGGAGCAGGTGAGGAAAATGTGTACAGGGCAGATTATCATATGCTAAGCATTATTTAGAAGCAACAAAACTAAGGGGTACAAAGTAACACAGATCAAGTTTTAAGAAAACTGCAGTGAGTGCAAAGAAAGGACCGCCCAAGGGGCCGGGCTGATGATGGCTTGGGAAGTCACTGGTGTGATTACATAACTCAATAATTTGCACCAGAAAGTTTACACAGTCAAGCATATACTTAAAAACATGTGGCTTTTAAATTTACAGGCTTTAATATATGCACAAATAAATCCTATGCTACAAGGCAGCCAATGAAAGGTAGGCAGTTCTTACGCCCTCACAAATGTGCTCCTACTCTACAGAGTAAAATATAAACCTGCAAAATGAGAACTATGGCACGCTCTTATGCATTATGTAAATGTGTATTTAATGTGAACATGCTTATAAATCTATGCACATGCATGTAGGGAGTCAGAAAGACAAGGGAAATAAGAAATTTTTATCAAAGGTTGGTTCTGGGATCAGAAATTGAACCGTGAAGGAACAGAGGAAAGAGAGAGACCTATATGGATGTCACTTTGCATTGGGTTATGAAATGGTTTGAAATTTGGTTTGAATTTTGTCCTGCTTGTGTATGTTTCTTAAACAAAATAATCAAATTATTATAAAAATAAATGTAATATGTATGCATCTACTGGAACAAAATTATACTGTCATTTTCCTACGTGTCTTCCTTCCAAATTGAGGTTACAGGTCACTAATACTTTTATAGCTGTTGAAACAGTTTCTGACATATGACAAGAAATAAAGAAAGCAAAACTGGGAAAGACAGGAAGAGGGAGGAAGTAAGAATGTAGTGGGGGGCAGTCAAGTTGTTTTTTCTTTCCGATTTTCTACAATTTTTACATTTTCAAAATTTGTCTCCAATTGGGAAGGGAGGATGGACCCGAGTGTGGGGAAGGCTAACAACACCAAGAGGATTAGGAGAAGCCTACCTTGTGTGTTGCCGCGAGGCCAAGGGCTATGCCTGGATGTTTTCTCTAACATCACTGATGGCTGCCCCCCTGGCTTTCCGAACTATGCATCTTAGCTCAGAGTGGCCACAGGGAGAGGAATGGGTACTGTGAGAACAGAGGTCTCAATGAGGAGAGACAACTGTGGCCGCATTTTTCACTCTCTTTTTTAACTGAAGCTGGGGATGCTCTGGCTACCTCTACAAGTAAGCAAAGGCAGACTGCAGACAACTGAGACTCACTGGGGACCCCCACACCCATGCAGGCTTGACTCCTGGCTCTCTCATCTGTCTCTCAAGCAGCCCTCAGAAAGCCTCCAGCCATTCAACATGCGTTTGACCTCCTTCTCGTCCAAGGCTCTTCCTTTCCATTTCTTGACCCTCTGTCCCATCTTCACTTTCCAGATGCTCTCCAAGGCTTCGCCTTTCTAAGTATCTTTTATGTGCTAAAGATCGGACTCTGTTGCTGGGTTCCGGAGAATGTTGCTTAAAACACAAAAGGTTAAGCAGAGAGCAACTTTATTGATTAAACATCCATTTTCTTCCCTTTGTTTTTGTAAGAGCCCTTGATGTTGCCTCTGATTGACAGCCCCACCTGCACACCTCTGGCCCTGGATTCCCCTTGGTAATGTCACTGAGCTGCAAAACTCCACATCCACTCCACACAAGCCCCACATCCTTCATGTGCATTTTCAAAGAGGAAAGAGAGAGGAAATGTAGCTTTTCTCTCTTTATCTTTCTTTCTCCATCCCTTAGATATTTCTAGAAGTCCCTATTGAATGAGGAAAAGGAAAGAAATGGAGAGAGAAGAAAAAGGCTTTAGCAAAAGCCCCTCCCTTTTATTTGCAATCCTTCAGCTCACAGCAAGTCTTTGACTAGGCTTTCAGGAAGGTGACAACCTTGTTCAATTAGCTTTTCCTCCTCACCTCTCACAGTGTGAATGACCTAAAGATTCCTGACTGCAAGACTAACAAAATGACACCCATTAACAAGCTCGGCGTGAGAGGCTTGGCATGATGGTGGCTCTGCCCTGTTGTCGGCTCAGGATAATGACTACATCAGCCGGCTCTGATTCTTCCCTGCTCTCCCCTGGAAGTGTAATATTGAAATAACAGGGCACTACTACGTTGCCATTAGCGATGAGGATAAGACTCCTAAGTACAGAAGCCAAATGTCCAGTTACTGATGGATAGCCAGCAATAAATGAGGTTGAACAAATCAACATAATGCATTCCTTCTCCATACGTCTCTACTCCCAGCACTTGGTCCAAGCATGAGAACAAGATCATCAGGACAATGGCTTGAGAAGATAGGACCAGCATGTCCTGTGGGAAAGAGCCCTTTTTTTTTTTTTTAGTAGTTTTACCCTCTTTGTGGCTCCTTCCCTGGGTTCTATCCTCACCTTCACCTCTGATAATCCAGTCCAAACCTTGGCAGGAAATTGCAGCACAAGCCAGATTCTGCCTTAGCATCAATGGAACATCAACTCGATGAAGCTATGGAAGCAAAAACTGAGATGAAAAACCAGAGGATCCAATGCTCCCTGGCAGAACTCAGGATGACCCAGACCCCTGATGAAGATGATTCAAACAGCCAGGAATGTACTAGACTTGCTTTTATTACCTTTTAAGAGCATTAATACACTTCTGGGAATTTTGCAAGTCAGTAGTTAATAGTAGCTATTATTAAAATTTCAGTTCCATATACATCCTATTAGAAAGAGTTACCTTAAACACAAAAGTAGCTGTTGACAGAGGCTGTTTGTTCCCACCCACCCAGTCCCGAAATAATTGCACAGAAACTATATTAATTGCAAAACAGCTTGGCCTATTAGCTTATGCATATTTCTAGCTAGCTCTTATATCTTAAATTAACCCATTTCTATTAATCTATGTATCGCCACAAGGTTGTGGTTTACCAGTAAGGTTCTGTCCAGCATCTGTTTCCTGAGGCAGCTACATGGCTTCTTTTTTACTCTACCTACCCTCTCCATATGTATGTATGTATGTGTGTGTGTGTGTGTGTGTGTGTGTGTGTGTGTATATATATATATATATATATATATATTCCAGTCTGGCTATATTCTGCCCTGCTATAGGTTGAAGCAGCTTCTTTTTTTAACCAATGGCAGTAAAACATATTCACAGCATACAGAGGGGAATCCCACATCAAGTAGCAAACTGTTAAAACACATTACCTCTTTATTATCTTATTACATTTTACTATGGTTTGTGCTCCCATGGTGTTTGGCATCTATTGTTCTGTAAGGCAAAGATAGTACAGAAAAGTGTGTTATCATGCTTCTTTTGTAATGCTAAGTTACACAATATTACGTTGGTAGTTTGAAGTCAACTATGGTGCTAGTATTGACATCATAGAAATTAACAAATGCTGCAAATCAAGACTTGGTGTATTATTCTGTTGATGGCCAAGGCTGGGGCTTACCAACCTATGCTCCAATAGTCAATCTAACTTTTAGTTTATTCTTTTATGACTCACAAACTAAAACTTGATTTTTCTATTTTAAAGCATTGTCAAAGGAGAAATAGGAGAAGGAACCAAAAAAAAAAAAATGGGAAAAAAAGGTTTCCTACAAAGGGCCCAACAGTAAACATTTAACATTTTTGTCTCTGTGGGATTTTTGTCACAACTATATAATTCTGCACTGATATACAAAAGCAGGCACTGAGTGTAACTATACATTAATACAATTTTATTTATAGGTTGTGGGTCAAATTTGACTTTCAGAACAGAGTTGGTCAATTTGTTTTTCTTTTTTTAAGATTTAGTTATTTGTTATGTATACTGTGTTCTGTCTGCATGTTTGCCTGCACACCAGAAGAGAGTATCAGATCTCATTATAAATAGTTGTGAGATGCCATGTGATTGCTGGGATTTGAACTCATTCATTACTATTAACCACTGAGTCATTTCTCCAGCCTAAGTTAGAGATTTAGAGCAAAGAAGTACTCTGAGGGTACTGGAGAGATGTCTCAGTAGTTGAAAACTTTACTGTTCTTACAGAAAGCTCAGGTTTGAGCCACAGCATAGCTCCAGTTCCAAGGAATCTGACATCCTCTCATGACCTCATTAGGCACCAGGCTTGCACCAAACGTGCATTCTGGGAATACATGTATGTGTGTATATATGTATGTATATATGGTGCTTCTTTTTCAAAAATATTTTTTATATATACAATATATATTATATACTATATATATTGTTTGTATATTATAAATAGTATATAGATATATTATTTATATATATTGTATATATACAAAATATTTTTGAAAAAGAAGCATCATTCTAAGAGAATCAATTAGCTGTATGAAATAGGCAATTTAAAGGGGGCATTATATATTTTATTATGATTTGAAAATATATGCTATAAGCCCATTAGATAACTAAAATCTTAATAGAAATGATGCACTTTGGCATTTTGATTGATGATCAGTGGTTTGGTTGTTACCAGCACACCTCAATGCCTACTGTCTTACATAGTCTACAGTTTACCATACCTTTTTTCTTCTCAAGAAGACATTGTTGAACACTTACCACATACTAGACAGAAAAAAAATAAAAGAAAATGATGAGATTCATATTTTACTGGCGTGCACAGTCCTGTGTGAGAGACTTGCCATGGGTGTAGTATCATGAGACAGAGCAACACCACAGAAATGCAGAATATCCCAGCACTGTGAAGCAGAAAGTGAAGAAAACGATGTTTATTATTCGAAGTGACCCCACAGACAGCAGGAAAAGAGCCCACAGGGCAGCACCCTGGAAGTAGATATTAGTTCCGTTATCGTGTGTGGGAAAACTGGCTCACAGAAGATTAGTAAACATGCCTAAGTTAAATAAGATAAGGGCAGAGCTAATATCTAGAAGTAAATATCTAGAATAACAAAGAATTAAGTCCGGTTGTTTGGACCTTAAAACCTTTGTCTAGTCACCCCACTCCTAGCCAATACCTTGTTTATAGACATGACCAGTTTCACATCTTACGGCATTCTAAAACACATCTCAATTTTTTGAGATCTTCTGTCTCTGTGCTTAAGTTCCCTTTTCCCCAAACAGTCAAAAGATAAAGCTAATTTAACACCCGCAGGTCTCTGAATGGAGTTCTGAAGTAGTATTGGTGGTGAGCTAAACCCAGTCAAATTAAAAGTTTTAGCATGACACTGTATGAATAGATACAACACTCTCAAAGTACTAGTAAAATATTGGGCTTTTTAAGGTCTGGCAGTAGCATAGGCAGTTGCTTGCTCTTTGTGGAAATAGTTCTTTGGAAGCAAGATTCAACCACTCGTGCTGGGTGAACCTGAGGTGGAGTCCATAGCGTTCAAGTTCAAGCATACACAACACTATCACTGAAGGTCTTACAGGCAGGCAGACATTTCATTTCAAAAGACAGGGAAACCCCAAAGCCCTCTATGGTAGTTTGAAAGAGAATGGCCCCCGTATACTCATGTATTTAAATGCCTGGTCCCCAGTTAGTGGAACTACTTGGGAAGAATTAGGAGATATGGCATTTTCAGAGGAAGTGCATCACTAGGGGATGAGCCCTGAGGTTTCAAAAGTCCACGCCACTCCCAGTTGCTTCTCTCTTGGCCTCATGGTTGTTGTCTCCAGATGTAAGTTCTCAGCATTGCTCAAGTACCATGCCTGCCTGCCAGCCGCCATACTCTCTGCCATCACAGTCATGGACCTGTCCATCACGGTCATGGACTCAGCCTTGGAAACTGTAAGTCCCAGTAAACTCTTCTATAAGTTGCATCAGTCATGATGCTTTGTTACAATAATTGAAAAGTAAATAGACACTTTCCATCCTGGCTCCAGTGGGAGCCTGTTTGACGCACAGTTTGTATATTTATCTATTCACAGAAGTCTAAAAAAATCAACATATTCTTAAATTACAGAAATGGGAATTTCATAATCTCCTTGGGAAATTTCTTCTGGAGCACAGGTTCTTAAATTTTAATTTGAATCGAAATCAGCTAAGAAGCTTGTTAAATGTGTCTTTTCCTGGTCTGTAAGACCCCCACAGTCTGATTTATTAGGTTTCCGACTAAAACCTTGGTTAAGATATTTCTAGAATTCTTCAATCCCTCTGATGAATAACATCCTCCCTTAGGCCTAACGAATTGATATGCTACAGGCCCACTGCCTTTTATGTGCAGTTCTGAAATCCCAAAACTCTGGAATTCAGGCTTTTTTATATGACGTCAGGCAGCCAAACCTGCTGTGAACTTGTCTGATCTGGGAGTAAAGCCTGAACTTAACTCACTAGAAATGTTATATCTCTGATTATCTAGATAACTGATAATGAAACATTTTGCTTTGGAAATATTAATAGGATTTTTTTGGTGCTACCCCAAACTTGCTGCTAGTGTCCCAATATAAAATACATGTTCCTTTTTCCCTTCCTCAAATAATGAATATTTTACTATTAGAACATTTAGCTCCAGTCATTCTGATAAGGGCTGTGGCCCTAAGCAAAGCTTTGGCTACAACTCTGTGAAAGGGAACATAGTCCTTGAGTTCTTATCCTTTGAGCTGCATTGGTGTCTCAGAAACTCGATCTTCAGAAGGCAACAATGAATGTATGCATTCCTGGACAGCTGTCTTTGGAAGTTCTGACTTCATAAAGTGTTTTTCTTCAAGACAATGGCCCACAGCTCTTCACCTTTTCTGAAGCTCTGTACATTAACCTCACATAAGGAGTCTAGACCACGTTCTTAGCCTACAGATAATTTTTGTTTACAGGTCCTTATCACCCAACTGTTTTTCAACAGAGTTGGCCAGGCCCATTCAAAAGTCCCAGAAAACTAAATGGATGGTAGAGATGAATTCTACAGATTGAAGTATAATCAATCAAGTGACATTCTCAGAAGAAAAAGAAAAGAAAACCCAGAAAGGACATGAAGGTCAAACCAGGAGAAAATGCCTAGGTACCAGCTGCTAAATAATTGCTAGTTAATTAACACGACCTTCGAAGTCCTGCACCAGTTGTCTCTGCCTCCCACGCCTACGCTCGGTTCCTCTGTGTCTCTCCATTCACATCTTCACTCTATTGTGTTTAACTTTTTTCTGTACAACATTAACATCTTCTTTATCTAACACCATTTGTGCCTCATGGTCTGGACTGCTTGTCAGTCTCCTGCTTTCCCTTCATCTCAAATTTTCTAAAGACCATCCCCAATGTTGTTCACTTTCCACCACAGAGTACTGTCCCTCACAGAGCCCCCAAACACTGCCTTTTAACTGGCTGGCAATTAATCTCCATAGCCCACCAACCGACAGTAGCCATGAAGCTAGGAACCACACCCATCATCCATTCTGTGATACCTGTGCCGGATACAGGTCTGAAAGTGATTCAGTGCTGGAGAAATGTGTTCTGACTGAATGAGTGCATAAAGGCCTAGAACGGAGGCAAGAATAAAAACAGGAAGTCGGGGCTTTGTCTAAACATGTTTCTGGAAACATAGCTAGCACATGAGAACTTGGTCTTGCTGAGGGGTGAACACACTAACACCAAAAATACAAAACAGAACATCTGGTCTTTCCCTTCCCTCTCCTGACTATTTTCCCTCAGAATCCTCAACAAAAATCCACTCTCTATATCTATGTACCCGTAAGCTGTTCTTCACAGAGTATAAGGTCAGAGGTAGTAGGGATCATATATACAGCTCCTTCCCCACCTTATACCAGTTCCTAGAGTTATGCCTGAAACATTTTGGCACGATAAATATTTGTGAAACAATGACAGTTTAGTCAGTGGATTCCTGTATAATATTATCCTCTCAAATATCAGAGAATCTACGTTCTGAGATCTCCGAAGCTCCTCCAAAGGACTTGTGTCCCAAACCTCTCTTGAAAAAAAAAGAAAATCATAAATTAAGATTTGAGGATGACAAATTACCAATCTGTCCCAAAAGGAATCTATCCACCCATCCATCTCAAGTAAATTATTCTTCTGAAAAGTTACTGAACTTTACCAAACTCGAGAAAAAAAACTACCCTTAACTTTTCTGAAAAAGAAAATCATGATGTCATTCCTCTCTGCCCCTCCCATCCTTGTATCCATTTCCTTTTCATTCCTCAAAGTCCCATGAGAGGTTTCTCCAGAAGCAAAAGCATATCCAATGTTTTCAGACACTCCTTTGTGATCATGAAAAACATCTTTGCAGAGAATAAAAAACAGTGCAGGGAATCTTCTCTGAACCCAAATCAGACCTGGCAAACCAGAGGGCTTCAAGAAGACATCTTTCCCTGCAAGGATCTGTGTTATAGAATAAATAACTGGCGGGCAGAGCATCAAAGTTTGTGTTATGATTACCGCTGGTCCTAAGAGATTAGACATTGAAAAATAGTCCCCATAAGCCATAGAACTCACAGAATATTTTATGTTCTTAAATACTCTATTTTGTGGCCTTAAATCATTTCTAGATTTCAAATTCTCCTTATTTTCACTAAAACTAAACGTGTGAATTACCCTAAAGAAGATCATTTTTCCAGCCATTGTACTGACTATTTTTCTTGCAGATATAACAAAACACCCTGAAAAGTCCAATAAGGGTTGGTTTGGTTTGTTTGTTTGTTTTGCTATGTTTTGCTTTGTCACAGTTCCAGGACACAGAGTCCCATTGGGGAATCCATGGTGGCAGGAACTTGAGGTGGCAGGTGGCTGGTCACATCACATTCAGTCAGAAAGCAGAGGAAGAGGAATGTCTCTGCTCATCTCGCTTAACACTTCTTAACTATGGCCCCCGGCATGGTGCCACCTATACTTAAGGTGAATCTTTCCACCTTAATTAACCCAATCTAGATAATCCCTCACAGACATGTCCACAGTGTATTGTTTAAATTAATATGAGATCCTATTACAATTATAACCAGTATTAAGGATCACAGGCATCAACTTTAAAGGCAGGAATGCCCCAGAACTCAAGCATACAATTCGAGTAACACAATGTGACCAGGGTAAGTCCTTTGAAATTGTGTTAGTAGAAATGAGCTCCAATAAAGACCTTGCATTTCAGAAGGATGAGACCAAGACTTGCCAGTTTAGTGCAGTTTTGGCAGGGTCCTTGCTATGTAGTTCTGGACAGGTAATCACAATGTAATGCAGGCTGCTCTTGAACTCATGACAGTTCTGTTTTAGTCTCCAAAGTGCTGAAATTGTAGCTGTGTGCCACCATGACCTCCTGAATACCCCAATTTCTGACTACTTATTACATCTGCAGCCTATGCTTTACCAAATTTTCTTCATGAACAAAGTAAGTATTCTCTAGGCCATATCACTTTCCATGACATTCTAGAAAAAAATGTAAAGACCATGTATTAACAAAAGTATACACATTTAAAAATGTGTATTAAAATTTACTGTAGTAAGAAACCACTTGTTTGTTTTCCCAGCCACCCAGACTCCCAAAATAATCACACAGAAACTATATCATTTAAATCACTGCTTGGCCTTAAATCACTTAAGTGTATTGCTAGCAAGCTCTTACATCTAGTATTAACCCATTTCCAGTATTTTATATTTTACCACGATGTTCATGGCCTACTGGCAAGGTTCCAGCATTGTCTCCAACATATGTCTCCAGCAGGCTACATGGTTTCTCCCTGACTCTGCCTCCTTTCTCCCAGCATTCAGTTTAGTTTTCCCCACCTAGCTCTGTTCCACCCTATCAGGCCAAGCCAGTTTCTTAGTAACCAATGGTATTCACAGCATACAGAGGAGAATCCCACATCAATATATACATTATATGTCTACCACAGTTCATATATTTTATTCAAATTAATTCCCTATAAAATTGACAAGTCACCATGGGGCACTGATCTCTAGAGTAATCAACACAAAGTAGAAGTCCCGGATATTGAATCTATGCATGCCTGTGTCCTCCCAATAATTTCTTCTATCCCTCTAGCCCGGTTCCACCAAGAAACAACCATATTATCCATTTTGGTGGTTGGTGTGGTCTGAATTAAATCATCCTTCTTGACATAAGTCTTGAGCCTGATCAGCAAACATATTACCTGGAGATGTTTCTGGTTTGTCAAGGGAAAGCAAAGATACAGAAGAAATAAGGGGAAGTTGAGTAAAGGAAATGACATTCAAACTGAAATCTAGAAATGTTCTTGAGTCTGTGCTTTTGTGTTCTACGAGCAGACACATAAGACTGGACATTTACAATGCTCAGAAGTGCAGCAACAGACTACAATCTTTCTGTAAGAGATTCTTCGGGGATTATAGAAATAAGGGGATTTACACAGAGATTATAATCCTGATTATACAGAATTGATAAACTTTAACACTGCATGTGCATGTTTATTAACAGCATGTCTCCACAATAACAACTGGAGGAAGCTGACAAGCAATGACCTCTTTTAAAGGGTTCAAACGCTTTTTTAAAATCTAAGTAGATGAGGAAGCTTCATTCTGGTTAAGTACACCATCATATTCTGCTGCTTAAACAACCAAGTGAAGGCATGTTTGCCACTGGAGGGCTTGTATTGAAGTTCTAGCTCTTTCTCTTATTATCTCTGTGACTTTTAGCATGATGCCTACTCTTTCTGGTCCTGGATTTCTACATTTATAAAATAGGGGTGGTAGTAGCACTTGCCTCATAGTATACTGAGAGAGCCAATGAGGCAAGAGAATACTGCCAAAGCAGCAGCAAAATGGTAAAAGGAGAGCAATCTATGGGTTCCTGACAAATCTGGTTCAATTAAAAACTGATCTTTTATTGGAGTATCATGTTTCTCCCGCCCCTCTTTTGGTGTTAGCATCCGCCTGCCGTTAAGGACCCGGCAGAAATCCAGCACTTTTTCTCTCCATGGTTTTAGTCAATGGCTATTGTCTTCATTTTGCTTTGTCTCATTATAATAAACAGTTGGTAATTCAGTGTTATTTCCACAAATTGCATCTGAACTATCGTCAACCTTTGAAATCAAAGTCATAGGCTAGCAATCATGCTATGTCATAGTATGTCAGTGGCAAAGGTCCCTGTGTGGACCTAAGCTATGGTCACCGGAAGATCTGTTGGATGCATCTGAAATCAAAAGAGGGCCACCAACAAGTCACTTATTTGTCTGAGGAGCTAGGGACACCTCTAGGAGATGAGAAATCGAACCCATTCACCGTCTCTGCATGGAGTCAGCGGTTAATCCCCAGGTCTGTTTGTTACCTGCTACCCAGATACACCTCAGTGATGAGATCTCCCTGACTTTGCAAGAGACTCCCAGTAATATGAGGGTACTGGCGTGCAGGTGGAAGCAGCACTATTGCTTTGAGGCCCGAAAGGGAGACACCAATCTGTGAGAGGGGGGTCTCTACATTTTTGGTCTCACCACGGAACTCCATGAGTACACCCACCATGGCCTCGGCAAGGACAGTGGTGAGCAGCAGCCCCCGTGGCACAAGGCAGCAACCCTCAAAATGGGCTCCTGTAACGGCAGGCATCAGTAGCCATGGCAACAGGGAGGCGCCTTCACAATCGTTCTATTCGTGGGGCAGACGATTAACGAAAATAAACTAAACCTGGGGAGAGAAAAAGTGGCTGACACCAAGCAGCTGCTCAGAAGGTATGTTTATGAGAACTCAAGAAAAGAGCCGGCGGGAGACCCTGAAGTACCGGAGACCAAGGGAAGCTGTGGCGAGGGAGATGACAGAGCCGAAAGAGGGAGGAGCAGTAGCCTAAATTAGCTAGTGTTTCACCATTAGCTGGCAGAGTGGAGCCCAGCTTAACCCAGGATGTCCCGCTGTGTGACCTTGGCCAAGTCCCACAACTCTTCAGAGCTTCAAAGTCCTCACTTGTAAAATGGAATAACAAGAGACACTAAAAACCACTTCAGAGAATATTTTAAGAGGTGGAACAGGAAGATTTGTTTGGAAGTATTTCTTAGACATTAAAGCACAGTTTGCAGGTGGCGAGATGGCTCAGTGGGAAAGGAATCTGCCTTTGAAGACTAAGGAATCATGTTTGAGCCCTGGAACCCAAATGGCAGAAGAAGAGAACGGACTTCTGAAAGTTGTCCTCTGACCTCCACATGCACACACACGCGCACACACACACACCATAGAGCAAACAAACACATGCATGTTGTAAACTGTTAATATAGTATAAATATAGCCATGCATCACTTAATGACGGCCATTCCATTTTAAGAACTTGCATCTATAAATGTTTTTGTTGTAAAATGTCACACAGACCGTCCTTACGGAAACCTTGAAGACCGAACCCACTCCATACCTAGGCTGTATAGCACACAGCCACCACCATACATGCGGATCAGTGTTGACAGAAACATGATTCTCTACTGGGTGACGACGGTGTGTAACTTCCAATGCTCTGATGCACCCTCGAGATTTAACCTTAATACAACCAGTTCACATCTCACCCTGAAAAAGATGGCTTCATGGGGAAGGAATGAAGACAGAATGAGCTAACTTGATGAGAAAAGTGGGAGGGAAAGGAAAATCCACCCAGTTGCACCCAGAGGACCCATAGCCATCAGCGTAGGGTGGAAGTATGAAGAGAGGAAAGAACTATGCTCCATCTGCACTGGGTATTCACAAAACTCTCTTAGAGATGGTGTGATTCCTGCCTGTCTGGCAAAGCAAGGGAGACTCAGAGAGGGGAAATGACATCACCAAGGTCACCCAACAGGAGGACAAGGATGACACTTGTTATCCAAGTATTTCCAGGTCTAAAGTGAATGCCCTTCCTCCCTGTTTTTTTCTCTTTGTTGTTTTCCCCTTCTCTTGACTCCTTCTAGCACTTCCTTCTGTTTTGTTTTGTTGGTGTTTTTGTTGTTGTTTTGCTTGATTTTTGAGACAGGGTTTCTCTATGTGACAGCTCTGGCTACCCTGGAACTCGCTTTGAAGATCAGGCTGGTCTTGAACTCACAGAAATGTGCCTATCTCTGCCTCCTAAGTGCTGGGATTAAAGGAGTGTGCAACCACACCCTTCTTCCTTTCTCCATTGCTGTTTTCCTATAACAATGTTATCTAAAGCCCATAAATCAGAGCAACCATTTCCCAAATTTAGATGACAAACGAATCCCTAAGCATACTGCACCCATACCCCGTGGTCTCGCTACAAATCTTCCTGCGCACCAAGGGGCTGGCTTCGGCCCGGTCAGCATTCTTCAGCTACGCTGGGTCTTACAAACTTTCCAAGCATATTCTTTAGGGCGGTGGAACATTTCATTTGTTTGCCTGGGTGTTTCTTGAAAGCTCTAAAACCAGCTTGCTCAGATGGAAAACAAAAACAAAATCCCTTCCCCACGGAAGCACAACACACACACACAGCCTGCTCAGAAAAGAACTTCCACTCCAGGCAGAAGCTGAGGAAGGAGAGAGCAAGCAGAGAGTAAAGATGAAAACCTGTGCAAGGAAAGGCACAGGACTTTGGCTTTCTGCCCCAGAATGTCGTGGTGCCAACAGGATAGTGTGGGGCTGTACACCCCACGAAAGAGTTTCTGCCACCATTCAACTCTGTGAAGAGAAACATACAAGGAGTTGCATGTGGTAGCAATAGGAAAGATGAGGTCCCCCTTGGCAGCTTCCCAAACAAATAGGGATAATTTGGGGACTTTTTATATGTTTAAACTTTGAGAAGTTCTCCCAGGACTGGACTTATTTTAAGATGAAGACATATCCTGGACTCGGCCAACAGAGAAAAATTTGGGTGAAATCAAAGCTCTGGGTTTCTTTTTTTTTTCTTTTTTTCTTTCTACCCCCCCTCCTTAAATTGTATGTACTTTTTGCGCAGGACAAATCTGCTTCTTCCCAATCACTCCTCTCTTCCATTTCAGAGAACACACATAGAGTCTGCCTTGAAAGAGTTGAAATCCTCCCTTCCTCAGATGAACAACTTCCAACGTTTTCCCCAATAAAATTCCCAGTGCTTATTTCCCAGGTGTCAAGCCAAATGTCGAAGATAACCCCACTTCTGACAACTGTAATGCCTTGATTTTCTGGGATAACTTTCTCCTAAATGAGTTAAAACCTTATATAGTTTTGGTGGTGGTAGTAGTTTTGTTGTTGTTGGCAGTGGTGGTGTGTGTTTCTAGTTTTAAACCAAGTCTGGTTTCTCTGGCCCCTGCACTGACCCACACTTACAGACAAATAATAGGCAAAATGAAAAACCTACAACTTGTCTTTACCAAAGCCAAAAATCTCCAGGGAAGAAGAAAATCTTCAAACACGACTTAAATGAAGCCAGGCCCACACAAAAGGGACCTTGGGAGCACAGAGGGAAAAGATACAAGAGGAGAAAAGAGGCTAAGGTTTGAGTGACCATGTGATCTCAGGAATGTGACCAGTCACTGACTCACTAGACCACATCTATAAAACAGGATTAAAGATCTCTCCGTCCTGGGGTTAACATAAATAAATAAATATGGTGAACATTCATGATACAGTTCCAGGCACAAAGCAATGACCAGCTATCACTAGGCTCATTCCTTTCTGATGGATGTGAAGATGCAGTGAGAGAACTGGGGATGAACTGGAATATCATCTATATGTGAGATTATTGTAAGAAAGAAGGAAAGACAAGACATGAAAGAAAAGTAAAGAACAAAGGCTTTGCTCTCCAATGTGTTACCACGTTTTGGCATCATTATTCACAACAGCCAAGACAGCGAAAATCTAGATGCTCTTAAAAGGATGGATTTTAAGTTGTGATATGCATCCATGAAATATTATTTTGTGTCAAAAATGGATGGTGACCCTGCAGTCTGAGATAATAAGAATTAATCTGGAAGGCATTATGAAAAGTGAAATAAGTTAGAAACAGAAGAATAAATCCTATTTCATATAGAGTGTACAAAGAGTCTACAATGTTCAGTGCACAGAAGCAAAGAATGAACTAATGAGCTGTTGAAAACAGGAAAGAGGAGAAACCAGAAAGTATGAGTCATAATGCACAGAATAAAGAGAAACAAATCCTAAAGATTTAGTACAGATATTTTTTATAATAGTATAGCATGCACTTAAAATGTTGGTATGACAATAGAACCTTTATTAATTGTTCTTACTACAAAATGATAATAGCAATATTAATAGGACTGGCAGGAAGAAACCTTTCGATGATTAGTAGGCCTATGGCATAGATTTAGTGACAATATATTATTGTCACCAAACTCATCAAATTACACCTATTATATATGTATAGGTTTTTACATTTCAATTATAAGTCAATAACATGGATTTTTCAGAAGAATATAAACCAGATAAATGTATACAACTTTCTGTATTATCTTTGAACTTTCCTTTAAATCTAAATTCATTCCAAAAGTTAAGGGGTTTATTATAAAAGATTTATTATAAAAGAGTAGACCTAAGTATTATCTCCAGATCTTTGTGACAAACTCAAGTGGCCAGAAGATTCTTCAAAGAAAGAAAGACTCCAAATGACACAGGTCTAGACCCTGTCTGTTCTCTACCAGAGAATTCAAAAGAAGACGTGGAAAGAATGCCAGATTTCTAGGCCATGGCACTCATTCATTAAACAAATATCTGTCTATCTGCTATGGCCAGACACTGTTCTCGACACTGAATAAACCAGTAAGCAGATGATAATGTTATTGCCCAAGTTAAATTTATAATTTAATGAAGAGATATTAAAAATCTTAAATGATCATTTTAAACACTATGACAGATGATGGAGAACCAAAACAGAAAAAGATTGGAGGATTATTGTGTTGAACAAGGACTGGGTTAGATACATTTTTTTAACGGTGTGATTAGAGAAACTCATACTGAAAATGTTAAGATCGGAAAGGACCTGAGCCCAAAGACTAACCCCAGAAGGAAAATCCTGGAAGAAATATCAAGGTTGCTAAGGCAAAGGACTTGCCTGTTTATAACACGAGGGCTGGCTTGTTGGGGTATCTGTCCCACCCAATACCCCATAGCCGGCAAGCCCCAAAGAAAATCACACAGAGGACTTCATAAGATTATAAACTGATTGGCCCATTATCTCAGGCTACTTATTAGCTCTTGTAGCTTATATTAACCCATTATTCTTATCTATGTTAGCCACATGGCTCGATACCTTTCTCAGCAGGGCAGCTCACATCTTGCTTCTTCGGCGATCTGGGCAAAACTGAGGAGGGAGCTTCCTGCTTCCCAGAATACTCTTGCTCTCATCTCCCTGTCTCTACTTCCTGTCTTGTTGACCCACCTATACTTCCTGACAATCAGCATTTATTTAAAACATGACTGACAGAATACAGACAATTCTCCCGCACCACCTGTTAAACCCAAGAGAGGATAAGACATTCAACAACTATAGAATAAAGAGATCAATGGTGAAATAAAGGGGATGTGAGATGCTACCAAGGTGGTGTTGGAGGCCATTGCATGGAATTTAAGTTTCCTTCCATACAAAATAATAAGCCATGGAAGCTGACA